ACAACAACAACAGCAATCGGAGAAGCGACAGAGACATGGATCGCAATGCTTGCTTTAATCCTCTCCGGTTGCGTGGTTCTCAACCGCCGCAGAGTACCCGAACCCTCTGCACTCGACACAGGCAGTCGGACACCGACAGGAAGGAATCCGAGAGATAGATTGAGGGATACAGTAATTTCATGCTATACTCTTTTTAGCTGTTGTAGCCGCATGCACGTCGCTGGGAAGGCTGTTGCTACTCCGTAGTCGTTCCTGGCAATACACCGAGTACCACAGTAAGCGCATATTCTGGGAAAGTGTCGCAGGATTCGTCAGAATCGATCGAAGAGAAGGAAGAGGCGATTGATTCCTCACGTTCGCACGCAGTTGCACACAGTACAGGTCTCGTTGCTTTCGTTGCGATTGATCGGAGAAAACGTTTGAAACAGAAGCATCGTTCTCTAGCGAAGCTCAGGTGGCATGTAGAGGTCCTACAAGGTGGTTCGATCTCTTGTCGGAATGGTGATCGATCGATCGCTCGATCGATTGACTGATTGGTTGATGGTGGTTGTATTACATTATTATTATATCGTAGTCGCGGATTTCCACGGTTGTATCAACCACGGCGCAGGCATGTGTCGTGACGTACTGTAGTTAGCGTTAGTGGACAAGAGGCTACTTCCGATCCGAAACAGGCAGAGTTTGGCGGTCTCGAGTGCGCATTACATGGCTTGGGTCTACCGCCGCCATGATCAAGCATCGTAAGGGGGAAATTCGAAGGATTGCCGGACACGGTTTTCAGAATTTCGTCGCGCTTCCCTGTGCATAATTTACAGTGCATCGTACTCATAACAGGGTCGAGGTACTTCGCCCAAGCAAAACGATTCTAGCGTTGTCCAAACATCACCAATCACCAACTTTTCCTCCTCCACGTAATGATCATCATCATTGAGAACATCCTCATACTTGTCTACCCCGCCTGCTTGTGTAGCTACACGTATGCTCCCGAACCTCGACAGATGATTGATTGATTGATTCATTCATTGATTGGAGGTCCAGATTCCGAATCGCCGCTTGGGGGCTTCCCGCATTCATTTAAATACAGGCAGTGGCGTGCTTCCCCATGGTACCGCCCGGGGCGGTCAACGAAAATTTGCATTTTTCAGTCGCGATCAACCAAAATGCCGCCCCCTGTCCGGATATTTTTCGCGAGAAATTTAGAAAATCTTCACGAAAATACCCGTTTTTTTTAATGTCGATCTCGAAAATGCCGCCCTCCGGAAGTGCCGCCCGGGGCGAACCGCCGAATTCTTGCCCGAGAGGTCTCTCCTTTGCAATTTCAACTGCACCTGCTGGGAACCAATCAATGATCAATCAGCCAATCGCTATCCGTCCTCTCGCTTGTTCTACTAATCCCTCGCCTCGGTCAAATCAGCTGGATAATAATTCGCTGCAGGAGAAGTTGCCAAGCTATGCCAAACATTGCCGCCCAAAACCGGACATGCCTATGGTGGTAAATTTCGGAATTCACAACATGGAAACAGCTCAGACACGTAAACGTGGACGTGACGTTCATTGTTCTCTTCATCGTTCACGGGCAGCGCAGGCGAGTGGTCCCAGTGTTTTGAGATTATAACTTCGGGACAGCAGGGAACCAGGTTGCAGGGTTGGATTACACGAAGGAGTAGAATCAAGTTCATAGGAAGTCCACGATTTCAGTCCGATAGAGATCAATCAATAGAAGGGTTCAGTGGAATTTTGCGGCGATAGCAGAGCTTGTGTTAGAAACTTGCCGCATTGCGGGCGACGACGGCGACGGCCGTCCATTCGTACCTTTGCTCGCGCACACTCGCGCGGCCGAGGACGTAATTTTCGAATCGTGCAATAATATAATAATGATGATATGAGAATAACTTTTACCTATTATTCCGGCTTCCGGCCGAACCTTCATGCAACCTCAGGACTATCAATTATACGTTCACTAAGGAACACAACCCGAGTCGAATTTGTGTTTCAAAGCGCGTAGGTAGCCATTTCATCAATAAACAGTGCTTTCGCGAATCGCGATCACTCGACCCCTGATGACACGAGCACCAAACCGCCCCATCGTGATGGTGGAAGGACAGCCAGGCTGAGAGTAAAAGATATCTAGCGACAGCAGGAATGAACGAGCGAATGAGCAGTGATGAGCAACGTCAACAACCCAAAAACCTCATGATTGCTTTATACTGATTAATTCTCCAGGCTCATGAATAAATGAAGCGATAAGTCACGGGCTATCGGAATGATTTCCTCCTTCCCCTGGGCCCCGAATCGCCGGGCAGCGACAGCAGACGTTCCTCGCCATCCTCATATTCAGCGCTCACCGGGATTTCAGATGTCAAATACAGAGAGGGAAGAGAGCGAAGGAATGAAAAGCGGGGATTAGACCTCCTGAAGGTGGCGAGAGAGACCAAGCAACGCTTACCCCTCCCGGGCTGGAAGGAGGAGCTCGTGTCGAACTACTGAGACACATCTTCGCATTCACTTGCTGCACCCAGGAGCCCACGCGCATTCGAATAGGTGCATCGAGGTGGAAGTTTCTGCCATAATAGTAATTCGCAGCAAGGCAGTATCAAAACAGCGTACCGGAGTACATGTCGGCGATCAAAGTCAACAGAGCTCTTCTGATCAGGTATCTCAAATATGAGAGGATGCTCCTGACCCGCGTTAATCCGCACCAAAGCTAGATCCGTAGGAGTTCACCCGCAGCAGAACTCGAACGAAATTGGAGCAGTAGCCGGCACTGGCACAGCATGATAGGCATTGGCATTAGGTATGTTCAGGCTGAAGACAGAAGAGCGAACGGTTTGTTTCCACAGAAATGCGCGACTGAGACAACAAACTTGCGGAAAGTAGGAGCAACCTTCAGCGGAAGCGCATCGAGCAGTGACCTAGAGGGGGTTCAGGATTAGATAATTGTCATCACCGTCAAAGGTCCTTCCCGCAGCTACGCACTGAAGCAGGAATGCATAAAAAAATCATCGGAGAATATTCGTTGGGGCAGTCCGAGATGATGCTTCGATCTCCGCCCCCGGCTCCACAAACAGCTCTCAAGTTTCAAACCTCGTGCGGCTGCGCTTGCAAGTGCGGTACCGGACAAATGTCGACGAAGCGTCCCCTCCCGAAAATGCTTCAAAGGGAGCTGTAACCATCTGTATGGCTGTGATCATACTCAGAATCGCGAGCGACAGAATTTCGTGGATGGGGCGAGCATCAATCGGAAGAGAAGGATGAGTGCATTTAACAGCTAGAGTAAGCAGTAGCCACCGCCGGCATTTCGGGATGCATTTCGGTCTCATGGATGCGAGCTCCATGTGGATTATTATACGGCGAACTTATCAACCCGCATGTCACACGTCTCCAAACAGTCGATAAGTCAGAGTGCCGAAGAGAATTCCCGGATACGAGAACAACAAGAGAGAGTTCTGACGAGAAACGGTTACCCTGTCAGGAGCGATTCCTGGCAGCAGCAATTTTGAGTGATAGGGATAGAAGAGGGAGGAATCTTCAAGCGTCATTCTCATGGGGTCAGTATTGAGCAAACTCCTACGAAGACTTTCACCCATGGTCGTCATAAGAGCACGTATTACGCGGATGCGTCGTAGGTAGGTATGAAGGTATGATATACCATATCATATACGCATATATGTACTCTCGTACATATACATGTATAAATACACAGTATTGAATAGTATGTAGTGTCTCGACTAGCAATACCATAACATACAGCCAACATGATTTGTGCACCATACCCTTACAGCTTGGGTTCCTCAGGCTTTGATTTAATCAACAGTGCTACATCAGTTCAACCTCTGAAGCACACTCACTCTCATCGAAAGAACGGATATTCGCGGACGATTTAAATTAATATTTGTATAGGAGCCGCAGAACTCAATTATCCCAGAAATCAGAAGGAGGTTCATTCAGCTGAAGAATCAGATCGGAGAGCATAGAGGAAGGAATGGATGCTTTAACCTCAGATTGAGGGGAGACTTGCCAAGGATTGTCCCGAGGCATGATTGCTCCCACCTCTGGTACCTAAGTTGAAGACTCAAGCTGCTAGAAGGGAAGGGGAGACCGAAGCTCTTTTTCTCTACGGGAGTGCTTCGCCGCCTTCGAGTAACTGATGGTGAGAATGAAGGGATAAACCATTCATCTCATGAGTTTCGGGGAGAAAAAGAAGGATAAGCGCAACAATTAATTGCAGTCGTGGAGGGGCATCGAGATGTTACTGCGGTGATGGCGGGGCTCGAAACTCCGAAGTCGGTGATTTCGAGACGAGAGAAAAGAATCGGAAATATGTAGGGAGAAATGAGAGAGAGCAACGCACCATCAAGACGAAATCAAACTCAGCAATAACGAACAGAAAGACACATCAGAGTGCAACGAGAGCGAAAAATTGAGGAGGAGGGCGAGCTAATTCCATAGTCGAGCTGGACGCCTCAGTAGCTTGATGAAAAAAAATACAGTAATAACAATAATCACGATCGTGGCAGGGACCATATGGTTAAATGATCTCGCTGGAGAGCCTCGGTACTGGGACAATGGATGCGATCTCCATGATAATAATAATCATCATAATAATAATAATGGCATAATCATGACAGCAACAACAATAACAATAAAGACTATCAATCATTGTGTAAGTCAAGGATGGAAGCGAGATTGTCGACCGTTATCTCACCCGCATCGTGCAAGTCGCTCAGTAAGGTTAACAGGAGAATAATGGGGTTAGTCAGAACACAAAAGCGCTTAGACCTCCCTTGGACCAGGATGAGAGGACATCTCTGTCAAGGTGTTAAGAAACGTTTCCGAAAAAGTCGCTCCAATGTGATCATCCTCATCAACATTTCCAACAGCATCATCATCATCGTCGTCATGATCATGATCATACAGTCTCAACTCAGTCACCAGTTGCACCAAGCCAACACCATTTCATTTCAGAAGCCGCCGGCAATACACTAGAGCATTCAATGTACCTCGATAGTTCGTCCTTCAACTTGTGTTCCGTTAAGTTTCTCGCGTGCGCGATCCGCGTCCGTTGACGATGCGAATGTTACAAAACCGAAGCCCTGCAAATATGAAGTATGCTTTAAAACAAGCTCTCTCATACTTTCCCCAAGGATAATTGGAGCATGAGAGGATATTGAGTCCGTCCCTTCTTTTGGAGAATATTTGACCGTCAGTCGAGTAACTGATGTATTTTCACGGAAGTATCATTCACGGCAAGTAGACAACGGGATCCCCGTCGAGAGGAACTCTCGCCAGCGTTCCTCTCTGATACTGGGCGAGAAACGATCGTTATACCTAAATATTCTCAGAAGTTAATCATTCAAATCCTGAGCTTGCAATGAGTTCATGCAAGCCGGGAATGCGCTCCCTTCAGTCGAACAACAGTTGGACGAATTCGAGGGAAAGTAAATACATATTCGCTCTTTTCGCTCGATGATTGAGCGTCGCTAAGAGGCTCCACCACCGCTAGACACTAATTCAATTTCCGCTCTCATGCTCCACTCTTACAACACAAGCGGCGAATTCCGCTTCCCACGAACCAGCGAACGACCAACAGCGAATGGAATCTCCAAGAGTTTCGACAGCATAAACGCAAGCAATGAAATGCAGTAGAATCTTGTTCTATCCTTGCTAAGCAGGTTTTCTTTGATCGATATACATAGCACGAAACCAATCGAATCCCCTCGATTTCTCGATCAAGGCTCAGAGACCAAGCAAGAGATCACGGCCAAAAAACCGCTGAGTTTTTGACCATCTGTTTTCACTCCAAGGCACGCACCGGACACGACAGGGAAAGCAGCTGGCCATCTCACGGGCTAGTAACCGG